GTAGCCTTGAGGGGAAAAAGCGGGAAAAGAGGGACACACCCCAGGGGCAGGGCCAAGGTGAGAGGGGTTTTTTTGGCTCCTGAGGGGAAAAGAGTCAGTCTCAGCCTGGTCTTCTGCGTGGACGGCAGGTTTCAGTGAGAGCACAGGTGGGCCTCCTGTCACCGGAGACTCCGTGGGCAATCCAGGCCACTACTGACCGTGGTGGGGAGCCAGGAGGGTGGCAGTGCTGGTGGCCAGTCCTGTGGAGGAGGAGGGCTGGAGTTTCTCTCCACAACAGGAGGGGAAACGCAAATCCTGGCCTGAGGCAGCAATCCACTACCAAGGTAGAGAGGGTGTGTGGGTAGGGACAGAGGACTTGCGTTTTTATCCTGTTTATTTTCAGAGCCCCAGTTGTGTTGAAGTGCCTGTGTTTATTTTCTGTGCCCAATATGTATATAGTTAAATAAATCTTCCTTTTTTGAGTTTAAAAAGCCTGGTGTGCCTTAACCACATAGTCCCCCCTGCTTTGCATGTTACCAGGGGCAAAGGGAGGCCAGGGAACACAAACGGGCCTAAATCTGAGGGGTTGCAAACTCTCCAGGGGGCACCCAAAGATCGAGGTTCCCACTTCCCAAGGTGGGGAATTTAGCCAGAGGGGTCTCACTGTCCCTCAAGGAAGGTGGTAACTTAATTCAGTGAGTGGTGGTAGCGTTAATAAAGAAATAGTCCCACCAGGCAGGGTGGGAAGGCCAAACAGGGGCTTGTGAGCCACAGGACAGCACCTCAGTCTCCCAGGGCTGAGGGCGGGTCCCCGTTTTGCCACAGCCTGTAATGCATCTCAATGCTTTTTGCGGTACTATTCTGTGTTTAATGCCCATTCTGGCCCGTTCCTGGGTGTTCCGGAGGCATTTTGGCCCAGAATGGGTTGATAAGTGCACAGTATCTCTGCATTTGGATTTCCACAGTATTGTTCTGGAGTGCCTTTAAGGCATCCCATGGTTTCTTGGGATGCTATTATTTGTGTAATGCCCGTTCTGGCCTGTTCTGAGGTGTTCCAGCGGTGTTTTGGCCCAGAATGGGTTAATAAGTGCACAATATTTCTTTGTTTGGATTTCCAAAATATTGTTCTGGATTGCCTTTAAGGCATCCCACAGTTTCTTGCGGTACTATTGTTTGTTTAATACCTGTTCTGGCCTGTTTTGAGGTGTTCCGGAGGCATTTTGGCCCAGAATGGGTTAATAAGTGCACAATATTTCTTTGTTTGGATTTCCAAAATATTGTTCTGGAGTGCCTTTAACACACCCCATTCTTTCTTGTGGTACTATTGTTTGTCTAATGCCCGTTCTGGCCTGTTCCTAGATGTTCTGGAGGCATTTTGGCTCGGAATGGGTTAATAAGTGTAAGGTATGTTTGCGTTTGGATTTCCAAAATATTGTTCTGGAGTGCCTTTAACACACCCCATTCTTTCTTGTGGTACTATTTGTTTAATGCCCGTTCTGGCCTGTTCTGAGGTGTTCCGGAGTAATTTCAAACTGGAAAGGGTTAATAAAGGTGTGAGAGTTCCACAATTTCAATTCTAGAATATTGCTCTGGAGTGCCTGTAATCCATCCCAGTACTTTTTGCAGTACTATTGTTTGTTTCCTGCCCATTCTGGCCCATTCCAGGGTGTTCTGGAGGCATTTTGACCTGGAAAGGGTTAATAAAGGTGCAAAAGTTCCATATTTTCGGGACAGGGTAAAAGCCGGAATGCGCCAGAACAGGCATTAAACAAAACTCTCTAATCTACACAGTTTTGTCTACCTTGTGGTGTTTTCTCTTCCAACAACTCCCGAACAAAGGGAGGAAGATTTCCCCTCCCCCCAGAAAAACCCCTCCTTCTACGTCTCTGCTGCAGGTACGACCACTAAAGTATTGATCAGCCAATAGTCCGTCTAGAGGTTACCTCATTATGAATAGACCTTCCCCATCTGTGGTGGGAAGATCTTCTCAATACCTTATTGGTTCTAAACTAAGCTTGTTTTTATTAGCATAACCCCTCCATGACCGAATTTATTTATTTATTTGACTTATATCCCGCCGTTCCTCATGGGCTCAGGGCAGTTAACACGAGGCAATTGCCATACATAACAATAAAAACCAGATAAAACAATTGGTTGACGCGCACAAAAATCCAGCAGAAAGTCATTATGTTACTTCCTTTTTTACAGGACTGGGTAAAAGACGGATCTAGATGGGGCCATAGTGGCACAAAAAAGTAGTGGTTATGGATGCATGGAAGGCAGGTGTGGTCAGCTTACTCTTTCATGGGGAAACCGCAAATCATGCAACACTACTTGATTTTTTTTTAATGAAGACTCAATTAGTTGTAATTCTGAGCAGAGAAACGATGCCTAGGGAACAGTCAGCCCCTTGCTACTGGCCATTTTTTCCTCTCAGAGTGTTCCATGAAGTCACACATTACATATATGCAGCGAAGCAACGCTGTGGTCCTCAATCATATGTTCTCCAGCCATACCCCACCTTCTACAAATAAATGGGAGTACATTGCATCAGATTTTGCCAGTACCCACAACTGACTTTATTTGCTTCATTTATATACCACCTTTCTCCCCCAATTTAAGCCAAGGGGCTTATATCCTTCTCCTGTCCTGTATTTTATGCTCACAACAACCCTGCGAGGTAGATTAGGCTAAGAGTGCGTGACTGGCCCAAGGTCACTCAGCGAGCTTCCAGGGCAGAGCGAGGATTTGAACCCGAGTCTCCTAGATCCTAATCCAGCCCTCCAAGCACTACACCATGCGGGCTTTCCAAGACTTGGTGAGCCAAGGGTACAGCACCTAGAACAGGGGTCTCCAACCTTTTTGAGCCTGAGGGCACCTTTGGAATTCTGACATAGCATGGTGGCTGCTGCAACCACAAAACAGCTGCCACAAAACAGCTGCTGCTGGAGGCAAAGCCAGCAAGAAAATTGGTGCCACATCTTACCTTCAGCCACACAGTGAATATCCTTGTACTGTTGGTGGCAGCTGCTGCCAAAGCAACATCTTTAGAAATCTGCACAGCCAATCAAATGTACAACAACCAATCAGAAGCCATGCTGGGCACAATTTGCCACCTGCTCCCACTTTCTAAAAACACTTGGTGGGCACCAGGAAAAGTGCCAGCAGGCACCATAGTGCTCATGGCATCACATTGGAGACTCCCGATTTAGAAATTTGCAGTGACAAAATCTGTTGGCCAAAAAGCTTGCGTTTAAACCTCCATTCATAATTACAAAAAAACTTCCAAAACAACCACCACCGTTTTCCCCAAAATCATTTGAAGCTGAATCAACACGAGGCAGATTTTTATTCTTCATGATTTGGTGATCTCCATCTAGTGGGTTTGATATTCTACATTCACAGATAAGACCATGACAATCTCTGCCTTGGATGTTTTTGCAGCTTGGTGGCATTGGAAGTTTAGGGTTGCCAGGTCTGGGTTGGGAAATACCTGGAGACCTTGAGGGTGGATCCAGGAGAGGGTGAGGTTTGGGGAGGGGAGGGGCCTCAGCAGGGTACAATGCCAGAGAGTTCGTCCACCCTTCAAAGCAGCCATTTTCTCCAGGGCAGCTGACCTGTCAGCTGGAGATCAGTTGTAAAAGCGGGAGATCTCCAGGCCCCACCTGGAGGCTGGCAACCCTCGGGAAGTTCCAGGTGCAATTCTTTACGTTGGAAGCTGGACATGAATGTGATTTCTCATTTTAATACAGTGTCACACTAATGTAGAACCATTTCAGGGGTTCTTTTTGTGGGTCATTCCATGGACATTGGTGTGATCTTACACTGTGTTTTGGTGGAGCCCATTCAAGAATCAGGAGGATCCACTGGGATCAAAGTATTTAATACAGTGTTTGTAGCTTGACAGTGCTCTGTTGATTTTGTGGTTCATTTTGTGCTCATGGACATGATGTGTGATTTGATGGCGAGTTCAGGGTGACCAAACATTACAAGCCTAAGGATCCATAAGGATCTGTGCTTCAAAAGCATGTTTTCACACCATGGCAATGCCACAGTGTTGACATTTGATTTTTATGTTGCAAGCTCTGGCCATAGACAATATATGTGAATGGATGATGAGTATGGGGTGGCCAAGAAAGCCAAGGATGCATGGTTTTGTGGTGCAAGCTCTGCCCATGGACATAAGAACATAAGAGAAGCCAATGTTGGATCAGGCCAATGGCCCATCCAGTCCATGCAGTGGCCAAAAATACCAGGTGCCATCAGGAGGTCCAACAGTGGGGCCAGGACACTAGGAGCCCTCCCACTGTTGCCCCCCAGTGCATCACTTGCCCCAGCCTGAGAATTCTTCTGCTCCATATGCTTATCTAATTCCCTCTTGAAGCCGTCCATGCTTGTAGCTGCCGCCACCTCCTGTGGCAGTGAATTCCATGTGTTAATCACTCTTTGGGTGAAGAAGTACATGTTATGTGAGTTGATAGTGAGTTTGGGGTGACCAATACAAGAACACACAATACAAGAACTTGTGGGCACTCAATGAAATTAAATAAATATTACAAAATAAAGGTGATCTTGTTTAGTTTATCCCTGAACTAACACAGAACAAGCACCTCCAGGGATCGGAGGAGAACTCAAAATGATTGTTGAGGGGAGGGGAAGACACTGGAGCCCTGAATTTCCACTTCTGCTTTTATCTGTGAGGGTTATTTATGACAGTTAATATTCTCCTTTTTAAATAGGCCAAGGTGAAAGGCTCTCTGGGGGGTGGAAAGGTATCATTTTGTTAGTTATGGTGACTGGGAGCCTGTAGAACATTTTATTGAACCAGAAAAGAGGCTTTGGGGCAAGAGATATTTTTGGATAATTTTTAATTTTATTATATAATTAAGGGGTACAGAAACAAAAGGGGGGAAAGGAATAGCAAAAAGTTCATCAAATGGACAAGAGATGTTGAATGTTCTTTATTAATCATCCTGGTCTCATAAACACTGGAAAGGCCTGTGAGGGAGATTTTGAATGCCTTAAGAGAGGAGACTCAGCCAGCCATCACCACACACAGCAAAGAAGGGATGAAGGGTCTCACCACAGAAGGAGGCTCCAGAGAACTCGTAGAGAAGGGCTGCTCTTTCGGCATTGAAAAAGGCCACTCGACCCCCATCATAGTTCACACAGATTCGGATCGATGTGAGCTCCCCCCTCAGGGTCAGGGGAGGGTCAATGCCCTTTACGAAGGCCTTGTACTGGCCCTTCCACCTCCCCACAGCCCAGATCCCTTCCTCAGGAGTCATGGGGACCCTGCCCCTCTCAGGCTTTCTGGACACCCCCACAGCCCACCCCTCCTCAATTCCCACAAGGACTTCCCAGAAATGGCAGCCGGCTGTGAATCCCACACTGCCCAACACAAAGCCATAGTGTTTCTCAGGTTCTTCAGATAGGTCTTGAGTTTCATGTTGCCACCACATTCTTTTCTGATCTCCAGAGAGGACTAGATGGGAACTAGCTGAGGCTAGATCCAGAGTCACCTTTGCTGTTGGAAAGAAATGAGGTGAGGGAAGAGATGTAGAATCAGCTGGGAAATGGATTCACTCCGAGAAGATAAACTAAATACATCAACATATAAGCTCCAACAACTCCTGGGGAAATCCAACCATGGAACAGACCTGTTTCTAAAGTGATTGCTTTGGTTTGTTTCTCTCTTTCTTTTCACTCCATACGTGAGTGGGGCAAATAAGCTGCAGCCCAGGGCAGGCCTCACAAGGAGCTTCTCTCATGCCATTATACATAATCCTGTCCATTTTCAATGCCACATTATGTGTGGAGGCAGGATGATGCAGTGGTCAGGAAAAGGAACTCTGCACGCTTTCAGAGGTACTTTCTTCTCCATAGTCTAAGACTTAACTGAGCCACTGACCTCTGGTACAGCAGGGTGTGTGTGTGTGTGTCAGGTAACCACACAGACCTCATTTATTAATTAGTGATTTTTTTTTAGCTGAGCTGGGTAATCTTGGGAGTGGGTAGTGCTAGAATGGAACGGATGGGGTGTACTCTCAAGGTCGATAATGTCAGCGTGGCCACTTCTTTAAGGCCTGATGTTTGCTAATGTGGAGTGGAAGTCTCTGCTCAACTCTCAAGAGCCAAAACCACACACAATGCAGAATAAGAACTGAAAAGCAGCACAGGAACAAGGAGAAATTGTGCCTTTATATAGTGTTTTCCAAGAATTTCAGTGGATTCTTTCTATTGTTTGCCAGGTATCCCTATCTCTATCAGCCAGCTAAAATGGCCTGTGAACATTCTTGGCGGTGGCAGAGACGGGTGGAAGAGGACGTAAGATGGGGGAGGAGAGCCAGAGCCAGTTGCAGGATGGGAAAGCCAGAGCGAGTGGCGATGAACTGGTCGGGGTGGGATTTCCCCCTCCCCACAAGTCCTGCTAGGTCCCCTCTTCTAGCAACTTAATAACCAAAGTAACCAGGAAGGGAAGCATGGAACTGAAATCCAGAATAAGGCCTGGTCACAATCAATATTCCGTCTAAGCTGTGGAGTCCTGTGGGCAAAAATTCCACTTTGTGAGCTACTGGCATTAAAGTCGTGAGCGAGCGATTTGGCTACTGCATAAATCAGTTTGCTCTGGAGCCATCCTTCCTGAGCTAAGACAAAAATGTGTGACCCGGAGGCTAAAAAACGGTGAGCTAGCTCACACTGACATCTTAGAAGGAACACTGGTCACAATTTAGAGGATTCTCCTATTTCTCAAGACAGGATTGTGAGGTAGAGCTCTCCTGAGTGAGGCCCACAGCCAGTTTCATTCTCTTTTGAAAGAGCTGACAGGGAGACAGTTCATCCTCTCAGCGTTGACCTCCTCCTCTGCCACCATTATGCTAAATGCTTTCAACCAGCAGATTATCTCACATCCATTGAGATCTCCAAATATTGGAGGATCTTTACCCTGGCATGCTTCAGCGTTCTACCCTCAGCCCCCCTGGAAGGCTGACACCATCGTGTTCCATTCCTTTAACGGCTCTGCCCCTGCCATACAAGGAAAGGAGAGCCTATTGGACATGTTCTGCTGCACTGCTCATCACATCATCCAATAATCTCAGTATACAGCTGTCAACTTTACCAGAAAGATCTGAACAACTTTATGCATTCCTCCTCCCTGCAGACTCTTCCCAGGAGATAACTAATAAAGTTTCTGAATTTTGCCTTCAGGCGTGTGGGATACGCAAGCGGTTGACTGAGCCTCCATAATTTTACTTGTCTGTCAGAGAAAGGCGTCATCTCTCTGTCCCTCCCCGCACAATCTGCGCTCACTGCTCTGTGCTTCTTGCATTGCATGTGCCCTCCCTATTTTATTTTTATGTTTCTGTTTTTAATTCTTATTACTATTGCTGACTCGCCGGAGCTGATCTGGTATTGAAATAAACTTTGACTGACTGAGTAGCCTGAAATGGGTGAGAGAGAGAAGTGGGAAGAAGGTGCACAGCCTAGAGAAGTAAGGGAACTCTCCTGGGAGGCGAGCCTGTTCCCTAAGGAGAAACTGTGTCCAGGAAATTCCTGAATAAAGGGGACAGTTGAACTACCCCTCTGAGTTGGAGTCTCCTCTCAAGCAGCCGAGCAGGGCCATGAATGAGTGACCACCATAAAGCCTGTTGTGGCCTCCACAGCACAGTGTCCATTGATGGAAAAAGGATTCTGGACTAGACGGACCTGGGACTGACCCAGTAGGGCTTACAATGTTCTCAGGTTACAAAACTGACACTCAGAATCACTCACTACTTCCCCTTTCCTCTGTCCCACTTTTTATAACTACCCCAATTATGATTCTCATGTTCCTAGGATGGAACACTTGAATGTCAATGGAACACAAACAGAAAACCCCCTAACAAGTCCCTCTCCTTCTTGGGAATTTTGTTCTCTCTCAGGCTTCAAAATTTACCTTCTAGTTTCAGAAATGCCCAATCCAAAGCATCTGGAGAAGCAAAAGGAACAAAGGATAAACATCAAACCATTGTATTGACAGAGTATCTTGTAACAAGAACAGCAATTCCCAAAAGTATTGATGCAGAAACAAATCTGGGAGAATGGGGATCCTCCTTCCTTCCATTTTTCCTTGGAAATACCTACATTTCTCTTATCCTAATGTAATTTTCAACATTCCCAATTGCAGCTTCTGTAGGTTTTAGAAAGCAAAGGTACAGAATATTTGATCTGGAAAGCTAACACTCGTCTTCAGCAGAATTTTGTTCCAGGAATCTGTAGTTCTAGTCTGGGTGTTTTCAAAATACAGTCCACTGCAATTTAAGCCAAAGTAAATTTGGGAATTGACTGAACAGGGGGTGGATGCTAAAAAATGATAATCCCGAATCCCAACAAGATTCAAGCCACAGGAGTCCTTCACACAAGCCAAAGCGATAATTTTGACAGATCCATTTTGGCTACAGTCCTACAGCAAAGGCAGCACACAGAGGAAAGGATCCCATAAGCACATTTGGGAAAACAGTACCACCAGTACCCTGCTTTTGATCCAGTAATTATGAACTTAAAAATATCCCAACCCACCCAGGAGTTGCTTTCCTAAATGTCACAGTTAAATGAGAGAAACCCTGCCCCTGGATCATGCACTGATTTTCAGGGCCACCAGGTTGGTTAAAGATTGCCGAACCCCAGAGGGAACCAAGCCATTGTGGTGTAAACGGTAGCACCCTTTAGGAAATCCCTAGTCAATGTCAGCTATCAGGAAGGAAGGATAGTTTCTCCTCTGTATCATTAAAGTAACCCAGCTTTGATTATGCATCAAGAACAGCTATTGAACTCAAAAGCCCGGATCAATGAATACCACCAATGGTGTAAGTGCAAAAACAGGGCATCAGTTTACATTGTGACTTTCAAATTGCAATTAAAGTCAGGGCAAATGTGTATTTGGTCATTTCAAACCTTCCTCAGCCTCACTAAATCAAGTTATCTCCTCTCCTTTTGAAGACTTCTTCTTTCCCAGTCTCCCTCCTAAATACTACGGCACCCACAGAGTATGGAGATTAAACATGAAGGAAACTGTTTAAACGTTCTAGAAACTTTGTTTCTGAGCTACGATTCCAAAAATACTCTTGAGAATAATTCTCTTTATGCTGAACTAAAATTGCCTTCTTAAGTAGCATTTTTTTTTTAGGATTATTAAAATTGTGTGTGTGTGTGTGTGTGTCCCTAGAAGTCATGGTTGAATTCTGGCGGCCCCTAGGGGCCTGGACATTTTGGAGAGGTGGCTTTGCTATTGCCTGCCTCTGCGTCCCAGTCCTGGTATGCCAAGGAGGCCTCCCATTCAAGTACTTGCCGCGGTTGGCCCTGCATAGCTTCTGAGAACTGACGAGACCAGGCTTGCCTGGGCTATCAAGGTCAGGGCATCTTAACTGGCATTCCTGAGTGAACCCAGACCCCTGATGTAAATGTCTGGCTGATGTGAATGTCCTCTCTGAAATCCCCGCAGCCATTCCACTCTTACCTCTGAACTGCTTCATGGCACTCGCCAGAAAGGGGTTATAATGGCTGTAGCAGACCTGACTTTTCAGCTCAGAAGGGAAAGCCTCTGGAAACCCAGAAAACACCGATCCATTATACTCAGAAAACAACAATTTCACCGTACACCAGACAGACTCTGCATTCTCAAACGACTTCCTCTTCTCATACCTAAAGAGAAACACTGTTAATGGAGCATTCACCCAAACCAGCATTCCTCAGAGGAGCAAAAGAACAAAATGGAAAAAATATGCAGAACTAAGGCAATGAGCGGCTGAAAGTGTAGCTAAATCACAGGCAGGAGAAGAAATGCAGAAGGTGCTTTGGGTAGGCAAGGCTGCCTCACTGCATGCATCAAATGAGACCTTATCAGGAATATGTTTAACTATTTCTTTGATTATATTTAAAACACTTTTATGTTGCCTTTCCACCCAAATTAGAGTCCCCATGGCTGCAATCAACCAAAAACATTGAAGCAAGCTTTAAAATGCAAAACAGCTCAAGAAAAGGTACAAACACCGAAACAGGAAGGAGGGTCCAGTGCAATGTTCCCTCTAAGCTGAGCTAGCTCACAATTTTTTAGCCTCCGGCTCACACATTTTTGTCCTAGCTCAGAAAAGACGGCTCCAGAGCAAGCTTAATTTACGCAGGAGCCCAATCGCTCGCTCACAACTTTAATGCCAGTAGCTCACAAAGCAGAACTTTTGCTCACAAGACCCCACAGCTTAGAGAGAGCATTGGTTCAGTGAGGGAAGGCCAAACAATTCAGCAAAGTTCTTCACAGGCAGGTGCAAGATCATAAGGGAGGGGGGACAGATGGATCTCCCTGGGAAGGAGATACAATAATTTTGTTGCCACAACCGAGAAGGCCCTCTGGACATCCGCTGGTGTCTCCTCCTCACACGACCCCAGTGATGAACGAAGAAACATAATGGGGCACAAATGCCCATGGCTTCACTTCAGTGGCTGCCGCTTGAGGACACGTGCAGATTATATGTTGTTCCGATTTCATGTCTCTGAATTTCTCAGAGCATATGCATCCAATATTTTTTTTTAAAAAATTAAAAACTTTTTAAATTGCATTTTATATACTACAACCTATAGAGATGGGAAAAAGGGAGTCACTATAATGATACAGAAAAAAAAAGAACCTAAAAAGATAAGGCAAGGATCAAATCCTTATATTGCCACCTTCGCTTCCACATCTCAAATGGAATGTCCTTTAGTATTTTAGCTTCTTCATCTTTAACCTTCAAGACCTTCCCAGATGTGGCTTTCAAAACACTGTCTCTAGTGGATCTCTTAGAAAATTTCACATATATTTCTCCAGGTAGTTAATTTTTCTTAATAAAATCTGAATAAGTTCGATAAGGCAAATCTATATCATTTTGTATCACATCTTATTTAAAATCCGTCATTGGTGCGAACGCTTCACTTAAAAGTACTTTCAACTTTTCTCCTTTATGTTCAGGAATGCCTCCTTTTTGCTCAGGAATGCCTTGAAAGCGTAAGACATACATTGATCTTTCCATTTGAAGTTGCAACAGTTGTCCTTTATCTGACATTGTCTCTTTTCCCACTTCCTCCAATTTTTCTTCAATGTCTTTTGTCTTTGTTTCGACTTTCTTGATGGCTCTATCAGTTTGTGTCAGTTGCTTTTGGACTCCATCCAGCTCGATTCCTTGGCTGTCGCCTTGGAAGAGGCTGTTCCCCGCACCCCAGGCTTGGAGTCCCCTACAAGGACTCCTGGGAGGTCCGGACCCATCCGGGACCCCTCCTGTCGGCCGCGTCTCGGCACGTCTCCATCAGGAGTTTGATGGGACGCATCCGAGTCTCAGGTCACCAAAAACCAGAAGCCTTGCATCCAATATTTTTAATGGACTTCTTGGCCTCTTGGTCCCCAGACCTACCTCTTTAATTGGCTCTGCCACCACGTAGGAGAGTTCAGGGAATTAGCAGGGCAGTCGGAAAGCAGAGTGACACCTTTCTAAGGACATGGAAATCAAGGGGCTGGGAAAGGAGTAACTCTGCTGAAGGCTGCCCAGTAATGGGCTGTTCTAAGTCAGCCAAGAATTCCCCTCTCAAAGGAGTCTGTGCTGATGGGTGAGACGGGGGAGAGGATTCCACCTCCCCCTTCGCCTTCTATCTGGTAGAGTGAACTTGACAGAGTCTTCAGAGTGTCACAATAATAACTCAGAATGTGTCTCAAGGCCAGTGAACAAATGATTTAAAAAGTCTTTTCTACGCACATACAAATAAACTAGTAAATGTATTTAGGAGGTGAAACTACAGAATACAAAAATCAAAAGAACAAGACAGTTTCTTACTCCCTAAAATGTAGAAGAGTTCTGGTGTCTCCTTCCTTGGAGAGAGACCATCTTTTCCTCAGCACATAATGGATTTTTCAAGATTCTCAAGGCTTGCTCCTTTTTGCCCATATTCCAAAGAGTCCCTCAGAAGCTGGGGTGCCTCAGATCACTCCAAAAGTGGGGGAGGGGGGGCTCATTCAAACTTCCCACCAAAGGAGGATTTGACCAATAAACTCCTACCCCAGAATAATCAGAGGAACAGTCAGGTGTGACACGTGTGTGTAATGTAAGGCTTTGGACCAGCATTCTGTAAATAAGATCAATGGCATATCATAAATGTAAAGTTAAATTAGAATGGCCCCAGTCACACGGAGGATTTGCTGTGCTAAAAGCACGAATGTCAGGTGGATTTTTGGGGTGCGATCACACCACAACATCTGGGAAGCATAGTGCCCCCGTGGCCAACCCATGGTGTCCCGCCGAAGATGCGCAGTAAAAAAGTACCTTGGAAAGTACACTAGTATCCAGAAAGCATGGGGCAGGGGTGGGCGTCTGATCGTAGGAGCGCTAGTATCCCGTGGCATCTGGCACTCATCCATGCCCGGTTGCAAACCGGATGGTTTTCGTAAGCACATGCGCACAAACGTGAAACGCTTGCTGCGCCGCTTCTTTGCCACGCTCCCGCATCGCTGTGTGATCACCAGCTAACAGCCTAAGTGTGGAGACTTGGGGAACCGTGTGATCAGGCTACCGCACTTTATTTTGCTCCCCCCCCCCAGCATTACCTGGCCCATGTGACCGGGGCCAATGTTAATTAAGCAGTATTGAGTATGCCCCAATGAAATTCAGAAGTATGCCTAGAAATTAGCATGTACAGACCTTCCCAGTGTGTGTTAAATTCCCACTTATCTTATGATCTTATTGACAAAATGCTGGTCTTTTGTTACCATTTCTAATGAGTGATGGCTCCTCAGTTTATGCAGAACTGATTTACAACCATTAACTGGAGCTTCACTTTTTTAGTGTTAGTAGCCACTATTCTTTATAATTTTCTGTAAAAACATTTTTTTGTGTGATTAGTCAGTACGCTGTAATTTTCTCACATCAGTATTTTTTATCAGTTTTAGGACTCTCATACAACCTGCCTGGCCTGAAAAAGATTTTTTATATTGATACATTTACAGTTTTATGTGTGCGTTAGTGTAATTTTGACCATCAATGAAGGTCCTTTGGTTATTTATTTATTATTTTCGATTTATATCCCACCTTGCCTACACAGGCAGGCTCAAGATGGCGTATAACAAGTTAAAATACAATAAACCACAGTGCATAAATGCAATACAATAAAATTTCCACATAAAACAATACACAAATAAAGTTAATATGCATGTTGTAACCATTATCGTGATTCTGTTTTTGGACATGCAACTTCATCTTGTTGCTGTATACTAAGACCTGAGTTTTTAATGGCAGCCTATATACGTTGTTTTTAATCCTAAGATTCTGTGTACTGTACAATAAATCACTGTATTTTATTTTAATTTCTAGTTGCTCAGCCTTTTGGTTCCTGAGTTAATGTTTCCCCCTTTTGTCTTTCTCTGTGCAGAATTTAAAAACAGTGCTTTGACTGTGTGACTGAAGGGAAGCTGCAGCAGCCATTTTGTGGCAGCCATTTTGAGGCAGCCACTTTTTGGCTGTGCCCACCACCCTGTGCCAGAATTTCAAGGGTGCTCACAAATGTAAAAAAAGGTTGGGGACCCTGATCTAGATGAACTACTGGTTTGATTAAGCAAGGCTCTTCTTATGTTATGCTGCTGGAATGCTGGCACCAAGCTAGCTGAAGTCCATCTCTGATTACCTTTCCTCCTCTTCCTGCAGGTACTTCAAGCCTGCGTAGGGCCAGAGGCAAGAGCCCTTGGATGGGTAAGAGACACTTGTCTCACAGCCTGGGACATGCAATGGTCAGCTTGGTGGACTGGGAACAACCTGGATTTGTTATGGAATTTTGGGGTTTGTCTAGTTGTTCTTGTGCTGTAGAATTCTTTTTCTTTTGTGTAAGTCACTTCAGATCTCTTTGGGGAGAAATGCATCCTGAAACACTGAAGCACGTGTGCTGTGTATATAATATAATGTATGAAAGTATTGAGCTTGAGTCTGACAAGGTATTGTAAACCGATCTATCAGAACAAAGGAAGTTCTGGAGGGAAGCAAAATGATTGGTCTTTATGTACTGTATTTGATTGAACCTTAGCTGACATGTGGGCGTGGCTTGCCAAGCCTGGACTGTTTAAAAAGGAGCCTGTTGCTCCATAGTTTGTCTCGTTCTGGTTCTTCTGACTTCATGTTCAATAAAGCTGTTATCACTGTTCACCTGCTGCCTCGAGTCTCGTATCTAACAATTGGCAACGAGGATGGGATTATAGAGCGGGTAGGCAGCCCCACTAAACCGATGCCAGGACGGCGGACGACCGAGAAGCCCCTGAGGAACCTAGGGCGGAAGAACGCGCCCCGGCTGATCAAGCAGCTGCAGCACCTGTGCCAGTGCTGGCACAAAAAGCAGTGATGGCTGTCAACCCAAGGTTCGAGGCATTCGAACCCTTCCTCGAGGACTGGGATTCCTACCTGACCAGGTTTGAGTTCTACCTCCAGGCTAACCAGATCGAGGGTGAGGACCAGCAAAAGGCAATGCTCCTCAGCTCCTGCAGAAGGGCTGTCTTCGACGTCGCTCGGTCACTGGCCGCCCCGGCTGAAATCAAAACCCTGTCCCTGGCTGAACTCAAGCTGAAACTACAGGGGCATTTCGCACAGCAACCTTCGCAGATCGCTTGCCATCACTCATTCTACAAGCGATCCCAGGCCGCG